TCTGAATTCAAATTTAAATTTGTTCATAGTCTGAATCGAAGACTTCAAAAGTTATAATCACTAAAAAATATGTTCAACTTTTTAATATAGTTCAAAGAAAAAATTGATATGTATTGAACCTACTTATTGTTAAATAATAAGTTTCTGCCTAGAACACATCCATTTTATGATTGGAGTTTTTCAAATTTTTTACATGATTTCATTCAATTGATACTGACACGGATACATATGCATACTATTCATGTGCATAGGGCACTAAATTTTGCAAAATTGTATATTTTTGTATCATTTGGCTACGCCTTAGAAAAGATGTGAGTCAGGTGTAAATTGAAGAGTATTGAAAACTGAATATCGCAGTATAGATCACTGATTTTTTTTGTTTTATTCACTTTATATGTCATGTATTTTGCATCAGCTCTATTGTAATAACAAGAAATATATATTTCGTTCTATTTTCCAGATTAGAATACCGGTTTTGTAATACCTTGGATAACTTGTAAGATTATCAATTAGTCACATTTGTATCGCAAGTCTTCTCTCATTCTGAAAATTATCGAAACAGGTTATTCTATCAGACTATCTGAACCCCATTTCAGAGACTGAACATGATGCATCAATTGCTTATAGACTTCAGCCGATACGAACACGTGTCATTGCAGGAATCTCCACAGAAGAATTTCCTGCATATGCTGTTGGTGATACAACTGCTGGAATCGATTTTCAATTATAGGAACAGGCACACTTGCAGACCGGTTTTGAACTATTTGGCCTCTTGTTAGGAGTATCATTTCTCTAACCAAGCTGAAGCGAATGACGAACAACAAATTTGTCATCCCTCCTTCTGGTGAACAAGGTACTTACCAACCGCATATCCAAAATTCTGCCAATTTCTTGTATAAGGAAGGAAACCTTTACACATATTCAGTGGAAATACTTGAAGACTGGCTGTAAAGCAAATTAGGTAAGAGAACAATTTGTTCAGGCCAGACTCGACTCACCTACACTGTAGGTTATCGGACTGATACCTATATGAAAACAACTAGTACCTTGGCAAATACTACGAAGGGGAATAGCTGACCATTTTCTTACAGTCTCCAAGAGTGCGGCAACTGTATGCACGAGTATTTCTGAAGTAAATGAATGATAGCAACAGTGAGATGCAGAAAAAAAGGCATGTGAGCGCATCTCTCTTCAACACACTCCTTCTGAAGGAGATTTGCTGTGTATGGACAACAGCATATTCTGGTGAATCAAGTCCTCAGTTCATAATGCACTTCATTAGTTGGTGCCGTGAGGCATCTGAGCAAATGCATGATAATCTCAGGAGAAGTTGTATCAGTAGTCTTGCGATAACCGATCCAAGCTTGAAGACGTTACACTGATACTGCACCGGTGTTATACATAATGTCGATGTGCAGGTTTTTCTGACAGACTGCAACACCTATATTCAACCCTCTCTGCTATACTCTGCTTGACTTATTCTCTGCTATACTAGTGGAGAATAGGGCAACTGAGTAGATTGAAAGATGCCGGAGAACAACTTTGCTATTATCCATTTGGTAGTATTATCCATCAAAAAGGGTTCAGTCTGGTGGTTATCAGATCACGTAGTTCTGCACGTCGGGCTGCACTGTGGAAAACTCATTATCATCATTTTTGACGATTTAAGGAACTGCTTGACCTACTTTGAAATCAAGTAGCAATATACCTTCAAAAAGTTATAATTTATTCAGCTAAAATGTTATTAGCCGGGGGAATTCTGATTTGAAACAGGCAAACTTAATGAAATAATGACAGGATTTAATCAAAACCATTCTTTGTTTTCTCTGGTTCTGATTTTTGTTTTGAAAATTTTGACCACCCTGCACTATTTTGGTGCATCCAGTTCTTAAAAATTTCAGGAAATTTTCATCTATAGTACCTACTTAAGTTGTTTGAATTTTCATCTTTTTCCATTTGAATCGTGATTAATAACCGATTGAAATTTATAGAGATATCTGATATGACAGCACATTTCCTGGGATACAAAATAATTGCTGGTATCTTTTTGGCAACATTGTTTTTCATAGATCACGCGTGAATCGTGTCTTGTGCCATTGTCAAACTTGTTCAGTTTGGTGGACAATTTAACCATTAATCGACTTACGAATGAACAACGCTTGCAAATTATTGAATTTTATTATTAAAATTTATGCTCGGTGAAGAAAGTGCATCGTGCACTTCTTCCAATTTATGGGCAGTTCCGTCGGTCTACTGAGGGAGCTATTTGGAAGCTTGTGACTAAATTTCGAACTCAGTTTACATTATTGGACATTAAACCACCATCACGCATGCGTATAGTGAGGACCGAAGAAAATATTGCGGCTGTATCCGCCAGTGTTCGTGATGACCGTGAAATGTGGATTCGCTGCCGTTCGCAGCAACTGGGCCTCTGTTACTCCACTACGTGGAAAATTTTGCGAAAGGATTTGGGTTTAAAACCTTAAAAGATACAGCTGGTGCAAGAATTGAAGCCACACGACCTCCCACAACGTCTAACATTTGGTGAATGGGCGCTGGCAAAGTTGGAGGAAGATCCACATTTTTATCGAAAAATTATGTTCAGCGGCGAGGTTCATTTCTGTTTGAATGGATACGTTAAGAAGCAAAACTGCCTCATCTTGAGTGAAGACCAGCCACAAGCATTGCAAGAGCTTCCGATGCATCCCGAAAAAGTCAATGTTTGGTGTGGATTATGAGTCGGTGGCATCATCGGGCCGTACTTCTTCAAAGACGACGATGGCTGGAACGTTATTGTGAATGGCGAGCGCTACCGCCATTGATGATTGATGACTTTTTGTAGCCCAATTTGGAAGAATTGGACATGCCTGACATGAGGTTTCAACAAGACGGTGCCACATGCCACACATAACGCGAAACAATGGCCCAATTAAGAGCCGCCTTCGGTGAACAGTTTATCTCACCTTTGGGGTCCGTCAATTGGCCGCCTAGATCGTGTGATTTAACGCCTTTGGATTGCAATGTTAGAGAGAGTGGTCCAAAATTGGAACTTGCGCATGGACCATCTGAAGCGGAGTCGCGGACAACATTTGCATGAAATCATCTGCAAACATTAAATTATATTGATCGTTCTATCGATTCCAATAAAGATTTCCTCAATTTTTTCAAATGTTTTGTGTTGTTTCGAAAGTCAAATCCTATAAATAATTACTGTGTCACCAATAATGTTTTTCCTTCAAATTGGTAGAAGGCTCTAATATTACCACTACCAAAAACTACTAATCCTCAAGAACTGAAGGACCTTCGTGCAATAAGCATTTTACCCACGATGTCAAAAGTGTTAGAAAAAATTGTTAATCATCAGCTGACGGATTACCTGAATGAAAAATCAAATTTACCGCCGGCACAATCTGGATATAGAAGAGGACATAGTTGCACTACCGCCTTGCTACATATAGTTGATAATATTCACTCAGCTTCAGATAAAGGTTTATGTACAGCCCTGATGCTTCTTGATTTTAGTAGGACATTTGACACTATAAACTATGACGTACTAATATCATTTTGGCATCATATAGGAATATCTGCAGATAGTGTTGAAATCTTCAATAACTATTTGAGGGAAAGATATCAGAGTGTGACAGTAGCAGCCAATAAGTCGAATTTTCTAGAATTGAAGTCGGGAGTGCCACAAGGTTCGAACCCAGGTCCACTACTCTTTTCTATTTATACCAGCCAGCTCGTTAACTCCCTTGGACATTGTTCTTCTCATTTATACGCAGACTGCACACAGATCTATATCTCTTTCAAACCTGAAGACGTTTATAAGGCTTGTGCACAAGTTAATAAAGACATCAATATTTTTTTTGAAACTGCAACTGATCATTGTCTAGTCAACAACCCAAAAAAGTTAAATGTTTTGATATTTGGGCCAAAAAATGTCAGGGAGAAGATTAAAGACGAAATAAAAATAAAAATTCTTAACAAGGCCTGTCCATTGTAGATCAAGCGAAAAGTCTGGAACTTATTCTCGAGAGTGATTTGTGATTCGAAACACACGTGAAAAAACTTATTCAAAAGGCTTATGGAACTCTTAAGATTATTTATGGAAATAGAAATTTTCTTATAAAAGCAACAAAAATAATGTTATGTGACAGTTCAGTTTTGTCTACCCTGAATTTTTCTGATTCAGTGTACGGTCCCTGCCTAACGAAATCATATGAGCAAAAAATCCAAAAGATTCAGAATTCATGTTTACGTCTCATTCATGGGGTTCGAAGGCGAGAAAGTATTCCCAATAAATTGGTTGAAACGGGATGGTTAAATATGGCAATGCGTAGGCGGTTGCAAGCAGCGTACTTATTTCACAAAATAATCATAACGAAGATTCCAATTTACTTATATGAAAAAATTCAATTTCGAACCGATGTTCATACAATCAATATTCGATTTGATGGTATTTTAACACCACCAATTCACCATCATGAATTCTTTAAACGGTCCTTCAGTTACCAAATTGGCTACGTGTACAACGGTATTCCCTAAGTTGTTAAGAGCCCCTACTATTGTTTTTTTTTCAAATTCTGTATTATAGGTATATTCAATAATGTTGAACTTGTGTGAGGTTAAGTGGTAGAACAAATCAGTAATTTTGAATTGATTTGAACTTCGCCTTTGACGTCAGCACTAGAATCATTAATGATCCAAATGTGAAAAAAATATATATGTATCCTAGATTGACAGAATAAAGACACATTATTTTTATACCTTTTAAATAATCACCCGTTACTAAAATAAAAGTCTGAAGTATGAAATGAATAAAAATTTAGGAGCTAACAGGGTAATTGATGTCTCGATAGACAGAAACACCGTCAATGCAGTATATGACTTTTCGTGCAACCCCAAATAAATATCGATGATGTTTTTTCGGTTATCTCAGGTTTGGTTACCTATCAAAAGTGCACCTGCAGGTTGATACCTACATTCGCCCCGCGCCTTCGTTAATTATAAAACCCCCTATTCATCGCTGCTCGATTCCTGTTGTGCCATTTGCACTGGAGAATCCTCAGATATGTTCTTCGAAAACTTGCGTTGCACAGAGCGTAGCACACTGGATTTATCGTCGAGTTTATGTAGCACAGGTAATAGAAAAAATCCCAAACTTGAGGAGGAAGACGAGTGCTCGTCGCCGCCACGGGTTTCAGCAGGACCAGGATGTTGTAAGGAGTCCAGGTGATGATGAAGGTTAGCAGGATGGCCGACAGGGTCTTGGCCGCTTTCCTGTCGGCCTTCTTCTCCTGAGTTTTCTTCTTTTTCTTCCCTTGATTCTTGGTAGCATTAGCTAGCAATGTTCTGCCGGCCAACTGTTTGGGGATGATTTTTGCGTTGAGAGGGATGCGAATATCCGGCATGGTGGATGGTCGTCGATTGATGTGGTTGACTTGATTGACGTTGGAGTAGGATTCACCATCGGGTTGACTTCGGTGTGATATCTGTTCATGATAAAGCAAAAATAATTTGTTTGAATAACGAATACGTTATCGATTTATGTTAATTCTGCTTCTAACATAAGTGACTGATGTACAAATAAACGATAAACAAATAAACAGTGACCAACCATAAAAACATAAAACTACGCCTGGGATAGTAAAAAAACAATATTTGTGTAATCCTCATGAAAACGACAATGAATCAATATTCCCTATGAATTTAATGACTTTAATTTCAAACTCCACCTCATAACTATTGAATTTTTTAAAAGTAATTCTCAGCTCAAATAGTTGTCTCTCTCGACAACACATTGTATATGATGAAAATTAAAATAGAATGAAATAATAATAATAACCATTATTATGGTAATGAGAATGATAATAATAATGATGTCTCTATAGGAGTTTGCATCTCAAATCGTCCGTTCCACGGTTTTACTTCCCTCGACAACAGGGAGGCCGTGGAATTTTGAGTTTGGAGTGTTTACATGACAGAATG